ATGTCATTCGAATGTTATATTTAAATAGATATTCACCATGTGCGTGTGTTGTGTTCAAAAATCCTATGCATTTCAAGCTCGATTTGTAAATTAATTGAAAACTTTTTTGACATTCCTTAATTTTAGCAAAATTTTCCCACCTCATCCCCTTCCATGCAGAGCATGGGTATGGTATCTGTCGCCCTGTGTGGAGGAGGGTCAATGGCTCTATAGATTGCCAGATGCTCTTTCCAGGCATCTAGGCATTGGCGGATCTGCAGGGGATTCAGGGGGTCCTGACCCCCTTGGAAAAAAAATAAACAAAAAATAATAATAGGCCTAAATAATATTCTAGGCCACTATTTTGTTTGTTGTTACATTAGGAAAATTAGAAGTCAGGCAAGCTCATTTCCCACTATCAAGAAATAAACATTTTTCCGGAGAGGACCCCCGACCCCTATTCTTTTTGGGGTTCATCGATTCAAGAAAAAAAAAAAAAAAAAAAAGAATACGTATGCAACTACTCATTTTTTTTCTGTATATTTTTACTTGTACATACACATTATTATTGTATTTATTTCCTTCACATCCAGAAGCAAGTACACTTGCCACTTAAGTGATGGAAGGATCCTTTATAAACCAAGCCTAGACCTAGGGAGTGGAGTTGTTTTTGGTTGTGAGAAAGTCCTGTAACAAGATTAGAACCCAGGACCATTGGATTAGAAGGCAAGCATCTGAACCTCTAAGCTATTCAACTCCACTCCACTACATTTAAAACATATTTACAAGACATGATTGAGTTTCAGTCAAGATTTAACAGTCTGGTTTTTTTTAGAAGTAGTCTTGTGTAAGACAATTATCATGTCTACTAGAAGTTAACTTGTTGATGCATATGCACATACAGTATACAATAAATCAATTTTAATAATAATGTTATCAAAAAAGTTTTTTAAAAAAAATTACCACAGTCAATTGTATTATTTTCTAATCTATATAATGATAAATAAATGTATGTAATTATGTAATTTATAAGCTGCTAAACAATAATAAAAACATATTTCTTTAGGCTGTTTTGTAATGGTCTTTGTAAGTCTTCTTGGACATGTGCCCACTGCCTAAATGGACCTACCATTTTCTTGCCTGTAGCAAGTAAAATTTAAGTTTTTAGTAAGGTTTTCGACCATGTTTGCCATACTAAAGTAATCTTCAAAACTATAGCAACAACAGACGTCAAATACAATAGAACCACTATTAAGTGGACACCTTTGGCACCAATAAATGTTCGCTTAATAGGGGTGTCTTCTTATTAGGGGTACACCTATTTAGGGGAAACTAAATCGTGAAATTGTCTGTCAATATGGTTTGGGCACGTAATCATATGGGGTGTCTTCTTATCAGGGGTACACCTATTCAGGGGAAACTAAATCGTGCACTGAAGTTGTTTGTCAATATGGTTTGGGCACGTAATCATATAGCAATGGCACAGATTCTTAAACACTGAAATTTACCTCAGAATGTCTATAATATAATTGAACTAAATTGTAACAAAATATGAAAATAAATGAAATTATAACAACAAAAGTATTGTTTTCTGATTCAAGTGCTGTGTTATTTTGAGGTTATTGCAGTTGTAGTGATGCAATAATATAGTGATAAGATAAAAAAAATAAAAGTAGTCCACCTTAATAGAAAATGTGATTTGACCATTTAACACACGTGTCCCTGTCTCCTTAAGGGTGTCCCCGAACCCCCCTTGAGGTGTTCCATTGCGAACGCATGTCCTTTTGCAGTGGGGTTGTGCAGGAGGACTTCCCCCACGGAACCCTGGATATTAATTTTTAAAATTTTCTTGATATTGACTCTAATAAGTTTGGGATTCCTCTCGAAACAGTCGCGGTATTTACTTTAGTAAATTTAAGAACACAATTTTGCCAAAAAAAGACATTAAAATACATCACAAAACGCTAAAAGGACTTCGCCACCACCCAACGCCGGGGCTCTTTGCGGTCCCCAGCGCCTGGCTCATGACCTTCAGTCCGTTCGTTACGTCACTGATCCCATATTTATAATTTTATTATATAAATTATATTTATAATATATTATATGGGAAAGAGCAGGCCTATGAGAACATTAAACTCTCGCTTTAGGGTCATCACCAACCTCCAACAATGTCACCATCGACAATGTCACCATCCAGGGGGGGGGGGGGAAGCCGTGGGAGCCGTGGC